ACTATTGTTGGGGGGGAAAGGGGTTTGGGAGATTCGGGAAGAGACTGGACAAAAATCATGCACCTATGGATGAGGACAGTGGGTGGGGAGAGAGGGTGGAGGGTGGGGTGGGAATTGGGTGGAGGGAGTTATGTTGGGAAAAAAGAGTAACTAATGTAATAATCTGAACAATAAAGATTTAATTAAAAAATAATGCTGCAATGAACATACAGAATATGTTGATACACAATAACACTAAGTAAATGTTGGTTATTAGTATTATTAGTATTATTACTGCACTACTGGTTTATTTTACTTTTTCCTCAAGTACATATGTTAATAGTTTATACTGTTAACTATTAGTTCAAATCCCATTCAGGTCACATAACATAGAATGCGGGTTTGATCCCTAGTCAGGGGGCATATGGGAGGAACTCGATGTTTCTCTTTCCCCCTTTCTCTAAAATCAATAAAAATGTCCTCAGGTAAGGATTTAAAAAAAAAAGTACTTCATTTTCTTCTGATCTCTGACTCTTGATTATTTTTTTATAAGTTCTTATTATGTCCTGTTGATTGACTTTTTAGATTTCCTCTTTATCTTGATATTCTGTAGTTTATTTAAAATGTATTTAAGATTGGATGTCTCAATATTCATTTATTAACACTTGGAATTTTTCAATAACAGAATTCATGTTTAACCTGAATTTTTGAAAAGTACTAAATTTTTTTAAAAAATATATTTTATTGATTTTTTACAGAGAGAAAGGGAGAGAGACAGAGAGTTAGAAACATCGATGAGAGAGAAACATCAATCAGCTGCCTCCTGCACACCCCACACTGGGGATGTGCCCGCAACCCACGTACATGCCCTTGACCGGAATCGAACCTGGGACCCCTCAGTCCGCAGGCTGACGCTCTATCCACTGAGCCAAACCGGTTTCGGCGAAAAGTATTAAATTTTAATGTTTGAAAGATTTCTCCCCTACCTCTCTTCCTGAAACGATTAGCCATAAATTAGTGTTTTTAAATTATCCTTTTTTAGCTTCTTTTTTGAATTTTTAATTTCTCTGAACTGATTTCTGAGAAGTTTTCTTAATTTAATTCTTTAAATTTTCATTTTTCTCTTTGCTTCTAGTTTAGTATTTACTTCATCTTTTGAGTTTTCAATTTTATGACTATTTCTTACTGCTTAGAATTTACTGGTTCTTTTTCTGTGTGCCTGTCTTTTCATATCCACCTGTTTTGTTTCATGTATACTATTTCTTCTTTTATCTCTTGGATGTTTTCAATAGATTTATATAGGAATCCTTTTCAGACTGCTGTTTTATCTCCATTTCCTTTGGTGTGACGCCCCACCTCCTTGCAGACCTTTGGGAGGTGCTGTTTTTTGTTTTTGTTTTTTTATATTTATGATGGCATCGAAGTAATTTGTGATTTCAGTGATCTGTGTTATTCAATAGCTGAAAGGTATACCTTGTCTTCTTTCTTTTAATCCTCACCTGAGGATATTTTTTCCATTGATTTTTAGATAGAGTGGAAGGGATGAGGAGAGGTAA